ATGTATTGTACTTGTGTCAAGAACTTGCCCGGTATGCGAGTCGAAGCGAAATTTTAGGGGATGCTCGGTTTGAAAAATAATTTTAGGCTATTTTTAATCTTTCTGAGCTTTAATTCTTATAATAAATAAAAACTTATCCTCAATTAACCCTTTTGAGCCTGTAGACTTTTATTTGGCATCCACATTACGAGCCTATACCCTTTTATTGTTAATTGGTATTTTTGATTCTTTTACCTCTTAAAGAATTTTAATTATAAAATGAGCAATAAAATAAGTAAGAAGGGACTAAGTGTGGGGTGACTTTTGCGTGGAACCAATGAAAGGAAGAAATGTGCACTTGTCTTTTAAAAGAATACGCCACTAATAGAAATTGCAAAAGAAAAAATAAATAGTTGGAAAAAAAAGGAGAAAAAGAAAAAAAAATGTAGATGAATAAATATCTAATGTTTGCTTGTAGAATGTAAATGACGATAGTGCTTAAAGAAAAAGAAAAAAATTTCGGGGTTGATATTGTTTGTGAAGTTGAAGTTGGATTGAGGAAATGTGCATTTAAAGTTGATGTGTTAAAGTGCTTAGGAAGGTGAACCACTATTCCTAAATATATCTTACCCGTCCCTTAACCCACATTATAACCACGAAAAATTCCTAATTGATTTTAGATTGAGCGAGCTTACATTAGTAGAGATTTACATTAAGGGCAAGCCTATGGTACCAATTGCATGCATGTGACTTCTTTTTGTGAGAGCGAGCGATTTTCTTTGATATATGTGAGTCCTTAGAATATATTTGAACATTTGATTTGAATGTATGGATTCAACTTATTCTCTTGTTCTTGTTATAAGGGCATATGGGTTGATGAGAGATAGGTAACGGTATCAGATTTCTCTATAATTTTGGGTATTCAAGCCACGAGTGCATTGTGATATTGAGTCGATTTTTGAGGCTAGGATTGTTATGAGCACGTTGTCTTTGTTGTGAATATTTTTGAAGAACGACATAAGTAAAGCAAAGTGTAAGTGATTGCATATGCTACAGTTTAATTGTTGCTATCAACCATGATCATTGGTATAGTGTGTTCGAATGTGTTAAGTATAAAGTGCTCAAATATAGTGTAAATTGTTGGTTGACTCGAGGACGAGCAAGATTTTAAGTGTGGGGTGGTGATGTTCGATATAAAATGCATATATTTAACCATTGTTGCCTCACATTCTAGTACCTTTAATTATCTTTTGAGTCTTAAATCCATCATACATATCCTTAATCACTATAATGTATGCTACAGGGACACCTCAAGCCTTCAAGCATCTCCAAAGGACCTCCCTAGGGACCTTGTCGTACGCTCTCTCTAGGTCAATAAATACCATATGCAAATCTTTCTTCCTATCCCTGTACTGTTCCACAAACCTCCTAAAAAGATGGATGGATCCGTAGTCGAACGTTCTGGCATGAAACCGAACTGGTTCTCAAAAATAGGCATCGTCCTTCTAACCCTCGCTTTTACCACCCTCTCCCAAACTTTCATAGTGTGACTAAGCAACTTGATACCCATATAATTATTGTAATTTTGGATATCACCTTTGTTCTTGTACAATGGGATCATCATACTCCACCTCTACTTCTCGAGCATCTTCTTCGTCCTAAAAATAGCGTTAAATAGCTAAGTTAGCCACTCCAATCCAGCCCTACCCGTATACCTCCAGAATTCGACCGATATCTCATTTGGTCCGGTCGCTCTTCCCCTGCTTATCTTACGCTCCGCCCCTGTGACCTCCTCTAAACTAAAGCGCCTACAATACCTAAAAGCACAACGACTCTTGGAGTGCTCTAAATCACCCAACACAATGTTCCTATCCCCCTCTTCATTCAGGAGTTCATGGAAGTAAGTCTGCCACCTTCGCTTGATATGTGCCTCATCTAATTAAACTCTGCTGTCTTCATCTTTGATGCACCTCACTAGGTTTAGATCACGAGCCTTCCTCTCTCTCGCCTTAGCCAGCCATAACAACTTTATTCCCCCACCTTTGTCCCTCAGTTCTTCATACAAACGCGCAAATGTTGCAATCTTAGCCTCCGTGACTATAAGCTTCGCCTCTTTCTTAACCTTCTTATACCCTTCTCTTCCTCTTCTCCTCCTCATCCGTGCTCTCTACTAGCTTCAAATATGCTGCTTTTTTAGCTTCTACTTTCCTTTGGACCTCATCATTCTACCACCAGTCTCCTTTGTAGCCTCCCGCATAACTTTTTGAGACCCCTAACACCCCTAACATCTATGGCGTAGCTCTTAACACAAGAGAAAGGAACCAAGGCAAGTAAATACTCTAAAGCAACCCAATATAACAAACCAAAGCGGAATAGAAGCAAATAAACAATTAAAGACATATAACAAATGGAAACGAACAATAAGTAAAAATATGGATGCACAGATCAAGTAACAAGAGAGGGCATGTAACAAAGAAAGCATGTATTTAACAAATAAAGGCAGGTAACAACAAAGGCATGATATGAGTAGTAACACAGAGTAAAAAGGCATGATGTAGTTAAGATACACAGTTAAAGACCCATCCCGCATGCTTAACCCATGATAATATATATACACTGGTCACCTCGCATATATACTATCCCCACACATAAATCAAATAGCAAATAGTCCAATCAAGTCCTAATTCCCTCAAGTCAAGGTTAACTACGATAATTACCTCACTCCGCAACCAAATCAACAATCAAGCACGGCCTTGCCTTTCGAACAAGCCTCCAAACCAATCAAATCTAGTCAATTATCTGTCAAATAATTTAAAATAAGCTTTAGAAAGCACCCACGAAAGAAAAAGGTTCAATTTTGATCATTTTGAAAAAGTCAACAAAAGTTAACCCCGGAATCGCGTGGTCGAGATTCCAAATTCGTACCAAAACACTATTACCCATTCACCCCAAGCCCGGATATGTGATTTGTTTCGAAATCTAACGTCAATTTGAGGTCGAAATATCAATTTTATATAATCTCTAAATTCTACCCAAAATCCTAATTTCTACCGTGAAATTCTTAGATTTGATGTTAAAAACTCATGAAAAGTAGTTGAAATTAATTGAAAACTAGTTAAAGATGCTTACCAATGAATTTGGGAAGAAAAAGTTCTTAAAAAATCGCCTCTAGAAAGATTGGGGTTGAAAAATGATATAAATGAACTAAGTCCTAATTTTCTCTCTTTTACCCAACTGCAGACATCGCATTGTGAATACTTGGTCGCAAATGCAATGTCCGCAAACGCGAGACACCGATTGCAAATATGACCAAAATGATTGCAAATGCGAATGCCCAACATCCCCAAAAGCGATCATGTCCTCGCAAATACGAAGACACTCAGCCCAACCCCTTTATCGCAAATACGATCTGATGACCGCAAAAGTGAGCTCGCAAATGCGAGATCTGCAGACTTGCACCAGTTGTTGCAAGCCCATCCGCAACCCATCCGAAATTCACATGAGCCCCTCAAGCTCCAAACTGAACATGCACACAAGTATAATAACATACTACAAACTTAATCGCTACCTCAAATCATCTAAATAACATCAAATAACGAGAATCGATCACGAAGATTCTAAATTTCAATTTGAAAACTCAATTTTCATAATTTTTCACATAATGTGCCAAAATGCGCTCGAGTCACCCTGGACCCCAACCAAACGTGCGTATAAGTCCAAAAATATCATACGAACCTACTGACATCATCAAAACACCGATCCGAGATCGTTTATAATTGTTATTGACTGTGATCAACTCTAGCCTCATTATAAATCAAAATCACGCTTTCTTCAAAATTTTACGTAAAAGTTTTCCGAAAAACAACATGGACCACACACGAAAATCAATAAACATCAAATGAAGTTATTAAAGGCTTCAAAACACTAAAATTAAGGCTAATACTTAAAACGACCTATCAGATCGTCACACAAACCAATAGTGCAAATGACTAATATGGACCGTAAAATAAAAAGATTATAAAATACACACACACACACACACACACACATATATATATATAGAGAGAGAATAATTTATAAAGAGGTATTTTTATAGTTGGTTTGGTTTGATCTTTTTCGATTATTTTTTTGTTTAAAAATAAAATTAAATCAAGTCTAGTCGGGTTTTAAGAAAAAATTCAAAACCAAAAGTAAAACTAAATTAAATTAAAAAAAGTAGTCAATTTTTATGTCGCTTTGATTCGATTTTCGGTTTGGTTCAGGTTTTTGGTGTTCCATGAACACCCCTAATTATAGGAATGGTCCCTGCCAAGGAGTAAATCTTTTTAAAAAATAGTTCATCCATTTCAATTTATGTGACATAGTTTGAATTGACACAAAATTTATAAAAACTAAAGACTTTTGGAACTTGTGATCTAAAACATATCACATCTTTTGTTTGAATATAAACCTAACATTTATGAAAAGCTTGTCATCAAGAATAAACTGAAAAATGTAAAGTTAATTCTTTGCAAATTTAGAAATATCATTATTTTTGAAAAAATTTAAAAAAATTTAATTTATATACACTATCATCGTAATAAATATGCTATCAGGTTATCTTTCTTTATTGTAGTAACTAATCTATCTTATTTTCAAATTTCACATTCTAAATAGGTTATTCTTGAGGTAACTTGATAATGTAAAAAGTTATTTATACTAACATATATATAACATAAATTCTGAAAAAAGTGTGGTACATAAATACTAACATATATATAATATAAATTCTAAAAAAAAGTGTGGTACATAAACAAGGAAGCAATTATTTTTGTTTAATTAACGCTTCTCCACTACGAAGGGTAGCTTTGGTATAATTGGTAAAGTTACTGTCATGTGACCAAGAGGTTACGAGTTTAAGCCGTGGAAATAGTCCGATTCTTTCTTAGATCTCGCGCATAACGGAAGCGGGCAACCTTTTTATAGCTGGGGGAGTAAAAGGAATTGAAACTTAACAGTTTAAAATTTTCCGAACTAAACGCCACATTAATCATTTTTCCTTTCTTTTTCAAAGTCAAAAAGACATCAACTATAAGCATCTTCTTCACTCTCCCTCCCACATTGTTGGCTCCATACTCCACGGCCACTGGCCACTCCACTTATTACACCGCTCCTCTCTTTCACTCTTTCTGTTTATATACTATCACTCTTCGAAAAATACAAACCTCATAAAACAGACATTACTGTAATGTAAACAATAGATTTTTTCTCTTTCTTTCAAGCATGACTTCTAAAATTGCAAATGGTTACGCCATTAACAACAACAACAACAACAACAACACACAAAGCTCGCCGCCGACATCGCCAAAAAACCGGCAAAGTTCCCGGAGGAGGCTACGCAGGCGAGGAAGCTTCCGTCGGAGGCACTTGCTGCTGGTTGTGCCGCTTCTCTACTTCTCGGGACTGATCAGCTGCGTGCGGCCACTCTTTTCCCTGCTGCAACCACCTGCAGGTGCTGTATATCGTAGCCATGAGATTTTTCAGAAGCTTTGGACTGACATTCAAGCTGATAACTCTTCCTCTATTCAGGTAATTTTTCTTTCCTGGTTTTATTTATTACTTTGCTTAGCGGATCTGAAACTGCCTCTTCCACTGAAGAATCTTCGTGTTAAATTTGGAATTCGTGAAAGCCCTAGTGAACTTTACTTTTGTGAAAGCAAAAGGAAGAAAAGAAGAGAGAAGAGAATAGTGTTACTTCTAGCCTTTTACCTCGTAAGGGAAAAGAAAAATGAAGAGAAAGTCTTAGTTGAGTGTTAAAAGATCTATTGCTGGTTGTTTTCTGCGACGATCCAAAATAGTTGTCCAGTTTTCGCTTGGTTAATAGTTTTAAACTTTGACACGAATTTTGTTAAATGATTTGAAATGAAAATGTAATTTCTTTCTAAACATTATTGTAAATAACCACATTTTTTTTATCGTGACTAATTAGTCTACATTTGATGTCAGTTTGAGCACAAAATGGAGAATAATTTGGGACCACTGGATTATTTAATAGTTTGGTTCGAATGCATATGCTGCAGCTATCCTTCATTGCTTTATATAGTAGACATACATACACATCTGTAATTATGTATTTTTCTTTATAATGTCCTCAGAGTTAACTTGTGTACACCTCGACTAATCTACGTGTTACTTGCACCTCCTCTGTTTTTTTCCATGTCTCCATCGCTCCTCTCTGTTCTTGCAGTACCTTGCATAGGAACAGCAGTAATTTTGATTAAATATTGGGCTACTGTAATGATGAATTAGTCCAGTGATTGTGCAAAATCTTGTACTTTTTGTTTAATGGTAAGCGAAGTTGTACTAATCACAAGCACTAAGATGGTGCATAGTGTTTACAACTGTAATCTTACATAAACTCAGTTCCATTTCTAATCAGTGAGGAAATTTATAAGCCTATCAACATCATATACATTCTGCATTTTATACCAGTAAGCCAAAAAGGAAATGCTTTCTGCATTTTGGTAATTAGCTGATGATCTGTCAATCTTACTGTAGCTGTCTTCTGTCTGGATATACAAAAGGAAGTTAAAAGAGCAAAGACACTGTTCCACTGGAAATACTGCCTCAACTAAAGGTATCAAAATTGTTAGATAGTTATATGTAAATAGTCCTAGTCATATATGTAGTAGGAGTAGAATATGTCCTAGTCTCATATGTAGTTGGAGTAGAATATGTATTATATATAGGGCTCATTGAATCATTGTTAATAATAGATTTTTCTCCCGTGCATTCTTATATGGTATCACAGCTTCAGTGAGAAAATTATCGTTGTGCGTCATTCCAGCGACATCCGGGAAGAAAGAGCTCGTCACCGTGCAATTTTCCGGCAATTTCGTCTTGTTCCTTTGGTTCATCACCGGTACAGTGGTACTGTACATATACCAGTACCACCATCAGATCCGAAACTCTTTCCGGTTGACGACACAAGATTAATTTGCATTATCTCCTTATCGGTAAGTGTTGTACGAAAACCAACACTACCAGCTTGTTCGGAAAAGTAACTTTTCCGGCGCGTGTCAGCCATTCCGGCTACTTTTTGACAAAACTTCTTCAGGACAACTTACTCGTCCAGTGATTCTGAACCTAACCATATAAATTCCATCAAATTCTGACAACTTTTATTTTTTTTCCGACGTGAACAATACCCCTTTTCCGGCATGAACATTGATTTCCCGGCGTGAATAGTAATTGGGTGTGAAAGTTTCTGTTTTCAGGTTGTATTTTAGAACCTATTTTGTAGTGTGGAATTCGGCTTAGCCTCGTTATTTTCAAATTTTTTGTGCGACCTTTCGGCCAATTTCTGTTTATAAGCAACCACTTGGTTTTGTTGCTCAGGGGGAGTCTAGTGGCCTTGCATGTCGAATGCTCAGCTTGCAGATATTTTCACCAAGTCCCTCACTGGTCCTCGTATTAGTTACATATGTAACAAGCTCGGTACATATGATTTGTATGCACCGGCTTGAGGGGGAGTGTTAGATAGTTATATGTAAATAGTCCTAGTCCTATATGTAGTAGGAGTAGAATATGTCCTAGTCCCATATGTAGTTGGAGTAGAATATGTATTATATATAGGGCTCATTATATCATTGTTAATAATAGACTTTTCTCCCGTGCATTCTCACAAAAATAACATATCTTGTTGACTTGTGCTGGATTTTATTCTTCCTTAGAACAACTCTCTCCATTTTGACTAATTTGTGTGCATTTAACTTTCCACAATCAGACTGGATTTTAGTGAAAATTTTCATTTTCAAAATGAAATGACAAAAATATTATAGGCAACAGAGAATTACCAGTATCAGTAAGAAGGTTTTGGTTTTTGAACCACCTTATAAATTAGTACAGACTATTAGCCTGATGGAAATCAAATTTAACCTTCACCAAGTCCAAATGGATGAAACTACGGGATAGAGTAAATTTCTAGCATTGATAATCAATTGTTCATTTGCTAGTTTTCATCTGGTCAAAATTATTAAGTTGGTGGGCATTGTAGGAATGCAGGTAGTTACATTAAATCAGGAACCTAACTAAATGTATTCCATTTCAGGTTCTCCTGGAGCCAATCTTTACTTAATTGTTGATGCCAATGGTGGCCTCAATCAGCAGCGATCATCGGTATGTTATTTCATGAGTCAATATGCCACTGTATTTCCCAAGTAATTTTCTGCTAACTTTTGTTAAAATTGCAAATTTGGTATACTTAATTTTGTACTTGAGTTTTCTATCTCTTATTTTGCTGGATTTATCCATGTTTTTTAAAATTGTCAGGTCATTACCAGAGTACAATGCTGCTGCATTCCTATTTCAAGTTTGAATTTTCATTGTAAATAAACACCAAGTAATTGTTTTTCGGCACCCTAACCTAATTAGAGAAACAGTATAGAAGACAGAAGTCATGGTGATTGCAATTGGTCGTTTTGAATAGCTAGATGGACATATGCTGCCTTGACATGAATTTGATATGCTTATTCAGTTGCTCAAAGTTGGGTAGATCAGGGGCACTACTGGTTTGTTAGTTAAGTCATGTAGTAGCTGATATAAGTTTCTAAGCGTCAGGACACGTTTTTTGGTATTTCTCTATTCATTAATGTAAATGAAAATTTAGCTTAACCACCCTTGTTGCTTTTAGTGCAGATATGCAATGCAGTGGTCATTGCTGCGCTATTGAATGCAACACTGCTTATTCCTCGTCTGGAGTTTCATAATGTCTGGAGGGATTCAAGGCAAGTTTTCAGAATAGTACTTTCCCTTCATGTGTAAATCCTACCAAGTAATGGTTGATAATTACACCTCATTTTCACCCCTTCTTATTTGATCTCAAGATCTCATACTCTCTGAAATTACACATTTAATGAAATCAAGAACATCCTTTACAAAAAAGTGGAAGGATGTGCAAGACAAAAAGAAATGCAATGTTGTGTTGGATTAAGGAAGATTCCTATATTTATTTTCTTATTTAGTTCTTTCACATTCTGTACCTTCTCTCTGTTTCTATCTGTGCACACCTTGTGCTGCTACAATGAAATGGGTGTGGGGTAATTGAAGAATATTCCTTTCCATTGGCTTTTATTTCTCGTGTTGAAAATAAAAATTTAAACTTCATTAACCACCAGAATGCGTAGTACAGGTTCAGTCACTACGTGCTTCATCTTGGTGCATGTTTTCTCATGTTAAATCACTATTTTGCTTCGAATACACCAATAATCGCATTCATTTAACTTCTGTATAACAAAGATTATTTTGGTGTTTCCCTTTTTGTCACATTGCAGTGGATTTGCTGATATTTATGATGAGGACCATTTCATATCCACCCTTAAAGATTATCTTACAGTGGTTAAAGAACTGCCAGCAGAACTGATGGAGAAATATGATTCCAATATCAGCAATATTCGGAATTTGCGAGTCCAAGCTTGGGCACCTCCAAGCTATTACCTGGAAGAGGTTTATCCTGTCTTGCTCAAGCGGAGGTATGTAGTTTTAAGGTTTCAGTTTATCTAAATTTATCACTTGTTTCACTAGTTAAAGACATTCCAAAAACTTTCTGCCAAATGACCACCGGAAAGCAGCTTGCATTTCTGTCTTCTTCTTTTACGTTTGGAAGGAACAAATTTAGTAGGTTCTTCTAATCTAGCATGCCAGCTTAATACTATTAGTATGTTTTTACACTCTTTTGCAATCATGTCAGCCAGGGTGAGAAGATACATCATTTTGCATCTCATTCTCGAATTACTAAGATTACATATGCTTATGACGGCTCATTAATGTGGGACAAGATTAATGAAATCTGATAGCGTGTATTACTACCTATTTAGAAGCCACAAATGAGAGGAGCTTAGGGTCAACATCTCTGCTTGAGCTGTTTGCTTAAAGGCTGTCCAACATGCTTACGGACATGTGGCAGTTGTGATATTTCAGGATTACGATGTTCTAATTTTATTGTAGACGTGTGCAGAATTTTGCTGAACCAGTGGACTGAACTTCGCATGTTCCACGTCGGTTGCAGCCTTTTTTAGATTGCCACGTGTGTGATCATGTTGGTCCACTTGAGATTTCCGTTTCTCGCACAGCTCTCGAACTTTGCTTTTATTTTGCTTGACTAACCAATATGTCTTATTGTAGGACTAAAAGTCTAAAATATAAGCTCCAAGGAAAAGCTTATATAAGTTGTTTCGGTAGTTTAAGCAAATTATAATTTCTTCATGTTTTAGCAAATTATAATTCAAATTAATTTTAAATCTTATATTATATATATATTTTTAAAATTATTCAAAGTGTTATAAAATGATAGCTCTTCTGTAAAAAAAATGCAAAGTTGAAGAAAAATGTTTTTTCTATTTAATCCTGTTGCGGAAGCCAAATGTATATAGTGTGAATAAGTCACAATTACTATACCAAAAATTAT